TCTTCAAATATTTAAATAGCTGTCATATGTAGAAGAGGTTAGATTTGTTCTATTAGACCCCAGAAGTTAGAACTAGATGCAATAGATAGAGCCTGAAGCAAATTTAGGCTTATGATCAGGAAAAATAAATTGATTAGATATTAATTAGGCTTTACAACAGTGGAATAGAGTTCCTTGAGAGTCTTTGTCTTGAGCCAACTGGGTGGTTCAGTGGAGAGAAGTCTGAAACTAGAAATGGGAACACCTAATTTCAGATATGGCCCCAGATACTTACTAGTTGTGTGACCCTGGGCAAGTCACTTAATTTTTCTGTACTTCTGTTTCCTCTTCCATAAAATGGGAGTAATGGTAATAGACTTACTTCCCAGCATTGTTGTGAGGATCAAATGAGATATTTGTAAAACATTTTGTGAACCTTAAATCACTATGTGAATTCTAGCTGTTATTATTATTAACTATAGGGTATCCTTTGCTGGAAGTCTTCAAGCATACACTAAATGATGACTGGTCTATGGCATTGTAATAGGAAGACATGTTTTGGAAAGAGGTTGAGCTTTACAATCTCTGAGGTCCCTTCTAGCTCTGGGATTCTGTGATTTAGATGTCTGTCATGCTAGTCCCAACCATAGTCACTCCCAGCTTCTTAATTATTATTATTCCTTCTCCTCCATTTCCTTCTCCAACTGTTGTTACTTCAGATGCCCAGCCACTGGATGTGAGGGCTATGTTGCTTCCATAAACCCACAGAAGAGCTGCCTACTTTCAGGTCAGAGAATTGGACTGAATGGCTCCTGGTGCCAAGCTCTGTGTTATGAAGTTTTAGTTGATTCTAGCCAGGACCAGCAATCTTTCCACTATACAGTGGTATCTCTCATTGAATTAAATACACTCTGTTTCTAGTGATTTTCTGCCCTGTATAGCACCTTCTCTCTAGGCACCCCATTTTCTCAAGCTACGCAATGCCAACATTAGAACATCTCTAAGCCTCCAGACTTTTCTTCCCTCTGCCTAACCTTTGCCCCATTTTATCCCCTCAGCATCTTGTTCTCTGAGCCCTTTCTGATATGAGAAACTGATGCCAAGGTGTCAATGGCCAATAATAGTTGAAACTGTTACCCAATCAGATAACTAATTTTCATGTTGACAGTCTTCAACTCTGCAAAAGCTCACCAAATAGCAGAGCTAGAAGGCACCTTGGAAGATTGTTTCATCTTCTTCACTCATTTGAGATAGGAAAGAATTGAGGGGATGAAGAAAGGGGAAGATCCCCAAGGTCATAGCAAGCTAGAGGTAGAGATAGAACTGGAATCCAAGTCTTCCTAATGTCTACCTCATCACACTAATCACAGGAATGACTAATAGTGGGAATTGCAAGCCGTCAGATAGGCTGAGGAGATCCATATTTTTACAATGGGGGTCCCTTAAGTGCTCTCAAATCCAGTCACACACACAAAGACTGCCTATATCTGAGCTAAGCACTGCAGGAAATGCTATGTGTAAGAAGGATTCCCCTAGGGGACTGGACACTTGTCACAGTGTTTGAGGCTAACCTGAACTTCTAGGATGGAAGAGGGTGGATGGTAGAGAGAAAACACCCAGTGTGGCTATGTCTGTTTTCTTAGCAGCCTAAAATTGGAAGGATTTGATGGCTGACTTTGAGAAGGGCATCCTATCTTAGATGCATTCTTCCCCCAGCCAGGAAGTATCTTGTCTTTGGACTGCTTAGCATTGTATGGTGGGGAAAACCAACCAACCAAACAAACAAAAAAAAAAAACAACTTTGGTCAAAAGATCAAGAAGGAAGGAAGCAATAATTTATTAAGTTCCTTCTATTTTCAGGCACTGTGTTAAACACTTCACAAATAGTTTGATCCTCAAAACAACCTTGGGAGGTAGGTGCTATTATTATTTCCATTTTACAGTTGAGGAAACTGAGGCAAGAAGTGGTGGAGTGACTTGCCCAGAGTGACATAACTAGTAAGCATCTGAAGCTGGATTTGAACTCAGATTTTCCTGACTCCAAGCCCGGAGCTCTATCCGTTGGCCCACCTAGCTGCTTGAGTACTCAAGACACCTGTGTGACCCTCCATCTCTTTGAACCTGTTTCCTCATCCATAAAGTGAGAATAAAGCTTCCTCCCTCTCCCTTCCTCACAGGATTATTTTGAAAAAAGAGCTTCAAAAATCTTGAAACATGGGAGATATAGCCCCCTGCAGTCACTGTGGGAGAAGGGGAAATCAGATTCATTGTCTCCACTTTTCTGTAATTATTTTCTGGAAATATTTTCTTCTTCAGTCTCAAGTGCCCTTTCCTGGCCAGCTAATTGGAACCCAATGAATTAGAATGCCTGGTGTTATCAGCTAAGCCCTGAGAGTCTTAACACAGCTTTGAATGGAAAATGACTTATAATTAAGGAAATCTTAATCACTTATTCTGAATAAGAATTATAATTCAGTTTGTAATTTCTCATCTGTTTTGGTTAGGTTGGGGGAAGTGGGAATGGGGAGGGAGTGGGAAGTGGGAAGGACCCACATCACTTCTTACATGAAGACAAAATATCACCAGTGGAGTAGAGAGAGGTTTCTTTCTGAATGCTGACTATCACATCTCCTCAGGAAAGGAAAGAGCAATGTGACTTGAGGCATAGTGGACAAAAATCTTTGTCTTTTGTGCCAGCTTAGCAAGGACAAAGGCATTTTAGAAAGGTCTAACCTAGTAACATCTCATCCTCCTTTTTGAATTCTGCTAGCTCACACAGTGCCTTTGCACTTCAGCTTTGAAGAGAGTATATTTTCTGCCCTGGGCAGAACTGGCCAAATATGCCTGGCTACATCAGTTATTGGAGAGCAAAGGTTTGGACTTTTAATTCCCCAAGTCAGAATGGTTAGCAGCCAGGGCTGGCATGCTCTGGGGATAATGGGCCTCAGAGTGAAATTGGCTGTCATAGAGGACAATGCTCCCCCAATGGAGTTCCCTGCATTATTTCAATTAAAGTACAGTAATTTTAGACTTAGTTTTAATAAAGCAGCTAACTCTCAGTTCTCTGTGTTAACGGGAGAAGACAGATAAAGGGAATCTGTGGGTCAGCTTTAAATGCCATCTGCACTGCATTGTCTAAGCAACTGAACAGACCAGGACGATGCTTCTTTAATGAGACTGGTTAAAACAGCCAGACTAAATATATGGTGCTGCACTCGTAGCCATAGATTTCAGTCTTCTTCTCCATATGTAATCATAGCATCTCAATGTTGGGGAGTTCAGAGTTCATCTCATCCAACCTCCATTTGTGTCCCTTTACAGCACCGATAAGTATCCACCCAATCTTTGCTAGCTGTCTTGTAAGTGGTCAAGAACTTTCTGGTCATGGACCAGAGGAATGGAATAGCAGATAGAGGTGGGCCTTATAGTCAAGAAGACTTGGTTTTAATTCCTGCACGTATTTAGCTGTGTGACCTGGACTGAGCAAGGCATTTAACATTTCAAAGTCTCCTTGGTGGAGGGAATTAGATCTATATCCTCCCACTACTACCAAAAACACACACTCCAAATCCATAGAAAAAGGGGTAATTGCTTAGCACAGTGCCTGGCACATAGTAAGTACTTAATATTGATTGAACGATTAAATAGTATTTCTATAACTTGGACAATTATGTTTCTTATTTTTCCCCATGTCATGGGTTTCAAAGGAAGCCTTTATAAGGGAGTATTATGGTTCTAAAGTGGTCCTAGGGTTGGTGCAGGTATGAGAGGGCCCAAAAGATCTCATAGATCTCCCACAGAAGGGTATTCAAAGCAGCTTTCTTCAACAAGGAACATAAAGCAGCATAACTGTATGCCTATCATGCCAACCCCAACTATTTTCACTCCAAAGTCAAGTAATATATCCTCAACATACAAGCCCTTTACTGTCTCCACCTGTACCCTGACCCTGGCATTACCTAAACAACTGACATACTCTGGTCTCATGTTTGGGGGAGGGGAAAGTATGGGGGAAGAGAAAAAGGAAATGGAAGGGAGAAATAAGGGGATGGAGAAATATGATGCTGAGGAAAGGAGGGAGAAATGTAGGAAGAAATGAGGATAAGAAAGGGTCTCTGCTGGGAAGGTATCTCTGTAGAGAGTATGATGCTACAGGAGCTTTGCTGTGGGGAAATGGGGTGGGCAGGAAAAGAGTGTGTGGAAGAGAGTTTGGTGAGAAGGTGCTTGGGAGACATCTGAACATAGTATAAATGGAAATACCCTTGGATATGGAGTTAAGAGATCTGAGTTCACATCCTGGCTTTCTCCTGCCCTGTATGACCTTGACACAGGTTTCCCTTCAGTTTTCCCAAGATTGGACAAAGATCCTTTCCACCTGCAACATTTTTTGATTCTATAATCTGCTCCCCCTTGGCTTTTGAGAAAAGCTTATTGACTGGTTAATTAGGGGGATTAGATTAAAGAAACATGAACAGGCGCTCTGTAGTGTCTTGGGAGCCAAACTGTTATGGGGAAAGGGATACTATAGTTGGAGTCAGATTTGACTTTCCATCTTGGCTTTGCTACTTAGAGCCTGTTTGACTTTGGCCAAGATTCTTCCCCTTTCTAGATCTTAGTTTCCTAAACTGTAAAACCAGGAGATTGTACTAGATGATTTTTAAGGTACCTTTCTACTTATTCCCAAAGTCCCATAATCTATGATTTACTTAATTCATGTCCATCATATAATAATGATGATGATGATGATGACCCTTTCTGCTTATTCCCTATAATCTATGATTTACTTAATGTGTGTACATCATAGAATAATAATGATGACAATGATGATGATGATAACTAGCATTTATATAGTAGTTTAAGGTTTGTTTTATCTTCCCAACAACCTTGGGAGGTAAATGTTAGTATTATTCTTATTTTACAAATGAGGAAACTGAGGCAGGTGGAGGTTAAGTAACTTGTCAAGGGTCACTGAGTTTTTAAGGGTCTAAGGTTAGCTTTTAATATACTAGGAGGAAGATGTGTAAAAAGTAAACACATTTTATTTAGCATAGCTAGAGTTTTCTATTATACTGTGAGGCTAGTCTTTTTTTTTTAAAGACTAACAAGTATCTCTCTGTGAGTCTTCCTTTGGGATGAAATGGTTTTAGGAAGAAGGGTTTGCATCCCTACTGGTAGCCTGCCAGCCTGAGGATGGTGGGGTAACGTGAGCGTTGTGCCATGCACTTCTCTCTGTCGATGAACAGACTATTAGCCTTGATGGAAATTTCCTTCTCCAGGGTCATTCGAGTATCCTCCAGGTTCCTCAGGGCCTGCTCTGATTCCAGTAGCTTCTGTTTCAGGGCTTGGATGGACATGTTTAGTTCTTCAACCTCGTTGGTCAGCCTAAATCACAAAGACACATGGGGATAGAGAACAGGAAGATTATAAGTCCATTCACCAGAGCCACTGAGGGGTGTGGCGGTGGAAGAGATGTCCCTGGATCCTATCATTCTCTGGTTCCATGGATTCAAACTAAATAAAATATCAAAGATGATCAAGTACGTATGTATGTCCTCATTTTACAGGTGAGGAAATTGAGACTAGGGGAAGCAGTTTCAATGATTTGGTCATGGTCACCATAGGGAGTAAGTTGCAGGACCAACCCAAGCCCTAAGATGTCCATTTAAGTGCTATTTCCATTACTCCACTTGTCCAAGTGGAATGGTGGTAGCAATGAGCTATGAAACCAGACCTCTGGCTGTGGTATCTCTTTTAAAGGCCTTGGGTGCCTACATAAGGAGGTGTATAGTGGAAAATGATAGGTTGTGTGGATGTAATCCATTCAGCATTTCAAAGGTTTATCCAACAGTAAAGATTGGAAAAGTCCATTAGATGTACTTATTCTCATCAAATAGATTACTTTCTTTTTTTAATAAAAGGCACTTAACTAAATTCAACATTTTTTGGTTGATTTCCATCAAAATAGGGTGTGTGTGTGTGTGTGTGTGTGTACAGAAGTAGTCTGGCAAGAAGAAAATAATCCTGGACCAGGAATCTGGGAAACTGGGTTCAGTGGTGTGCTAGAGGCACCTATTATGACCTCACTAGAACTGATTGTTAAATATTCAGTGTGAAAAGTAAACATTTTGGAAACTGGTAAATGCTATAAATCAGGGCTTGATTTATTATTTAGTTGATTTTTTTATACTTTTAAATTTAATTTGCATTGTTAACATTTTCTCTATCACTTTTTCAAAGTATGTTGTGTGCATTCTACCCCCATCCCCACTCCCTACCCCAGAGCTAGTTGTTAAACATTTACCAGGAAAATCCAACCAGGAAAATCCAGCCTGGGTTATTATAATCCTGGCTCTACCTGATTTGTTGCGTGACCTCTGCTAAGTATCTTTTCCCTACCTGGGCCTATTGTCTATAAAAGGAACATTAAAAATCCCTGCTCTATTGGGAGGTCTAATGCAGAGCAAGTGAGATAATGGATGTAAATGAACTTTGAAAACTGCCAGTGTCAAATACCAAGTTAACCCAAACAATGATACAAGCTTTTCCTCTGAAGCCTCATTATTGTGAAGAGATGACCCTGGATGCCCAGAGATTAAAAGAGGTGGGGTGGGAGTAAGGATGAGGGTAGAGGTAGGGAACACAGCAGCATAGTAGGTCCTACTTTTTGTTGTTGTTGAGTCCTTTCAATTCTGTTTGAGAACTCATTTGGGGTTTTCTTGGCAAAGATACGGGCACAGCTTGTCATTTCCTTCTCCAGATCATTTTACAGATGAGGAAACTGAGGCAAACGGGGTTAAGTGACTTGCCCAGAGTCACACAGCTAGTAAGTGTCTGAGGCCTGATTTGGACTTAGGAAGATGAGTTTTCATGTCTCCAGGCCTGGCACTCTATCCAGTGCACCACCTAGCAGCCCCATCTATATGTCTTTAACAATCCATGAATCCAAGTGAACCTAAACATTTTTTTAAACTTTAAAAAATGTTTTTCACCCTAGAAATTAATGGCCCTGTCTGCTGAGTTATGGAAGATACATGTTCTGTCACAGGAGGAAGAACCTACTGGAGAATTCATGACAACATCATGAATCTCTTAAAGCACCAAAGTAATAATGATGCTATGAGACAGGGCCTTAATCACTGGTTCTGATCAGAGTGTAGCTGACCTGATCAATCATGCAATGTGGTAGGCCATTGAGCCCAATCTATGAAGGCCCTAGGCAGAAAACATCTAATTTGACTTTTTAAATTGGATTTAGGGAAGGCCTAGGTGAATAAGCCCAGGGTGATATGCTAGTTCATCCACTTGTCTAATCTGGACTTGCTGTAGGCATTATCAATGCTGTGTATACTATTGACTTGCCCTGTGATAAGCATTTACTAAGGTCCTCTTATATGCAGGTACAAGGCTTAGTGCTGGTGATACAAATAAAGTCAAAACACAGTCCCCACCCTCAAAGATCTCAGGATGGAATAGGAGTGAGGAGAGAGAACAATCTGCAAGCTATGTATAAACAAGATATAGACAGAGTTCTTGTCTATCAAATGGTGGTGCAGTGGATAGAGTGCCAGGCCTGGAGCCAGAAAGACTTGAGTTCAAATCTGGCCTCAGATACTTACTGTGTGACCCTGGGCAAGTCACTTAACTGTATTTGCCTCAGTTTCCTCACCTATAAGATGAGCTGGAGCAGGAAATGGCAAACCACTCCAGTATCTCTGCCAAAAAAAACCCCAAAAGGGGTCATAAAGAGTCAGACATGACTGAAATGATTAAACAACGACAATAACAACACTACTTACCCCATGGGTTTGTCTTGAATAAAGTGCTCTATAAATTCAAACATACCATAGAAATGTTAGCTATTACCTAGACCAAGGTGGGGAACCTGAAGCCTCAAGGCCACATTGAGCCCTCTAGGTCCTCAAGTGCAGCCTTTTGATGAATCCAAACTTCACAGAACAAATCCCCTTAATAAAATGATTTGTTCTGTAAAACTTGGACTCAGTCAAAAAGTTGCACCCAAGGATTTAGTAGGCCACATGTGGCCTCCAGGCCTCAGGTTGGCCACCCCTGATCCTAGACATATCAACCACCTCATCTGAATTCTATCCAGATAAGCAAATAACATCATATCCACTGGAAAAAGTTTCAAATGGGGAAAGAATTCAGAGGTGGGTATACACTGGTTCTTTGGCCTGGGTATTGGCATCTAGGTTTGGATTCACATCTGTGTAGATGTCCTTTCAATCCCAGTGGGCCAGGCAGCCTTTTATCTTAGTAACACTTTAGGACCCATAGGGAATCCCAAAAGAGAGGCATCATTTACAGGAGTCTGGCTCAAAATCCTGCTGGTTCCATGATTAGTGTAGACATACCCTCTGGTCCTTGAGACTGTATCCTTCCTCCAAATGAACAGTAGAATCAGTAGCATATTTCCAGGTGTGCATTTAATAGCTTGGAAAGGCCTTGACATTTCTAAGGCATTATGAGATGAATAAAATGGTACTAGAAAATTACTCTCTAAACCAGCTTCAAAGGGACTAGCTTCATGAAAAAATCACAGGAGTCCCAAGAGCTTGACACAGTTCATTGATATCTGGAGCCTGTGAATGGGAAAATCTCTAGCTAAATGATACTTGCTTTCAATATTTGGAGAGACATCACATACATATTAACATGTTTCTGTATATGTATATATTTATATTTATATATATATATACACATATACATATACATATATATGATATACTTGTTTATATGCAAATATAATTGGGGGAGCTAGATGGCTCAGTGAATAGAGCACTGAGTCTTGAGTCAGAAAGTTGATGTTGAGTCATTTCAGTCATGTTTTACTCTTGGTGACCCCATTTTGGGGTTTTCTTGGCAAAAATACTAGAGTGGTTTGTCACTTCCTTCTCCAGCTCATTTTACAAATGAGGAATTAAGGCAAATAGGTTTAAGTGACTTGCCCAGGATCACACAACTAGTAAGAGCCTGAGGTGGCATTCGAACTCATGAAGATGAGTCTTCCTGATTCCAAGCCCAGTGTTCTATCACCACCTAGCTGCCCCAGAGTCAGAAAGACTCTAGTTCAAATTCAGCCTCAGAAACTTACTAGCTGTGTGATCCTGGGCAAATCACTTAACCTCTATTTGCCTTAATCTACTGGAGAAGGAAATGGCAAACCACTCCAGAGTCTTTGCCAACAAAACTTTGTGGACAGTACCAGGCGTGCAATGGTCCATGGCGTCATGAAGAGTAAGAAAGGACTGAACAACAACACACAAATGTGTATGTAAACAAATGAGTTAATCTGTTCAAAGTGCTTAGCAAACCTTGATACATTCTATCAATGTTAGTTATTGTTGTTACTGTTATTGTTACAGCAGCCTATCATAGTTGATAGTCATTCTCCGTCGGAAAGACCTGGGTTCTGGTGCTGCTTCTGACACATACTGGCTTTGTGCCTCTGGGCAATTCATTTAAACTCTGAGTGTCCCAGCAACTTGCTAAGATTCTAAATTATACCAGTCCTCTACCTCAAAGAAAGAGGAAAAGGACTCATGTACAAATATATGTATATATTTGTAGCAGCTCTTTTGTAGCATCAAAAAACAAACAAATAAAAAACTGGAAACTAAGGGGATGCCCTTTAATTGGAAAATGGCTGAACAAAGTATGGTATATGGATGTCATGGGATACTATTATACCTTAAGACATAATGAAATGGATAGTTTCTGAAAAACTTGCAAAGACTTGTATGAACTGAGGCAAAGCAAAGTGAGTAGTGCAGAAGAATTTATACTACGACAATATTATTGTCAAGAAATGAACAACTTTGAAAGACTTAAGGACGCTAATCCATCATTATTCTAGAGGACCAGTGATGAAGAATTCTGCCCCCTTCCTGACAGAGATATGATGGTCTCAATTTGCAGAATAAAGCACACATTTTTGGACATAGCCAAACTTGCATATTTGTCATAATGGTTTTTTGTTTGTTTGTTTGTTTGTTTTTAGTGGAGGGGAATAGGAGAGGGAGGGAAAAAATGAAAGCTTATTAATTAAAAAAATGGGAGTGGCAGTTAGATGGCATTGTAGATAGAGCACCAGTCCTGAAGTCAGGAGAACCTGAGTTGAAATCCAGCCTCAGACACTTACTAGCTGTGTGACCCTGGGTACTCCAATTTCCTCAAAAAAAAGCAAAAAAAGATTATAAATGGCACAAAATATGTCTATTTGCATTGGTAATGGGATTTTCAAACCATATGTCAGGTTAAAAAAAGATTCCATGCCTGGGAGGTTTAGGATTCCATGAACAAGGGGGGAGTTCAATATAGAAGTTCAGGAGTAATGTGGTGAATGGGGAGTAACATAAACCCCAGAATGCATCTTTCCCTTCCTCATTTTATATGACCAAAGTTACTTTCTAGGAACAATCAGCACTGCTGTATAGTGCATCAGGCAATGGTCTTGGAATTGAAAGTTTTGACTGGGCTCAAGTCCTATTAGTTACTAATAATATGACTTAAGACAGCTTATTTCTAAGGTCCTCATTTTCCTCATTTGTAAAATGAGAATAATAGTGCTTGCATTGCCCATCTCATAAAGTTGTTGTAAGCCTTAAAGTGCTATGCAAAGACAGATTATGATAGTTATTATTACTATTAATAACATTATTTATTATCCACAGATAACCATTACTACATATCAAGGCTGGGTCTGTACAGCACACAGGGAACATTGAGGACGCAGGCAATATTTCCAGAGCACTGAGTGATAGGTTGGTAAATCTGGGTTCAAGTCCCAACTCTGCCACAACTCAGAATGATGTAATATTAGAGAGGCAAGGAATCTTGGAGGTCATTTGGTCTATTCCTCATATTGTAGATGAAGAAAACAAAACCCAGAGGGGAGAAGTGACTTGGCCAATGGCAGTAGCAGACCTGGACTTGATGTTAAATCTTTTACTTCCAAATCCAATTCCCTTTTCACCACAAAACTATAGTCACATTCTATGACCTCCACCAAGCCACTTTTCTCTGGGCCTTAGTTTCTTTTTCTGCTTCTTTCCTGCATCCTTTCTTGCTTAGCTCACACAAGGTCCAATAAGTGCATATTTAGTGGAGCCTTGTGTGTGCTGAATTCATCATCATTTAAACCCTTTTAGAAGTCAAGCCTTTTAACCTCCCTTAGAGGACTGATCTAGTGCCCTTGCCTTCACTCCTCAGGGAATCTCGTTGACATTTCTAACCAGGCCCTCTCTGGTTTAGGACTGTGGTCTTCAGCTTTAGTTTTGTTTTTTATTTTAATTTGTTATTTATTTTTTAACTTTTTTTTTAAAGTTTTGAGTTCTGAATTTTCTTTCTCCTTCCAGCCTTTCCCCCACCCAAGGAGAAGGCATACGATGTGAAATAAATTATACATGTGAAATCATGTAAAATATATTTCATATTAGCTATGTTACCAAAAATAAGGTGAAAAAAGTATGCTTCAATCTGCACTCAGACTTTATCAATTTTCTCTTTCTAGCTCGATGGAATTCTTTATCATGAGTCTTTTGGAACTGTCTTGGATCATTGAATTGATCAAACACAGCTGATCATTATTTCAATATTTTTATTAGTGTGTACAATTTCCTCCTGGTTCTGTTCACTTCACTTCGCATCAGTTCATAGAAAATTTCCCAGATTTTTCCAAAACCATCCTGCTCAACATTTCTTATAGCATAATAGTATTCCATTATGATCATATACCATAACTTGTTCAGTCACTCCCCTGTTGATGGGCATTCCCTCAATTTCCAATTCTTTGCCACTACGAAAAGAGATTCCATAAATATTTTTGTATATTTTTGTATTTATATTTTGTGTATGTGTGTGTATTTTATGTATATATGTATATTTTGCATACACACACACACATACACACACATATATATGTTGTGTGCGTGTATCCTTTTCATTTTCTTTGATCTCTTTGGGATACAGAACTAGTAAGTAGATTTGTAGATTTGCTAGGTCAAAGATTGTGTATAGTTTTATAGCCCTTTGGGTATAGTTCAAATTGTCCTCCATAATGTTTGAACCAGTTCACAACTCCACCAGTAGTGCAAAAATATCTCAATTTTTCCACTTCCCCTCCAGAGCATATTAGCCAATCTGATAGGTATGAGATGGTGTCTCAGAACTGTTTTAATTTGTGTTTTCCTTAATCAAGAGTGATTTAGATTTAGCTCTAGTTTGAAAGAGGATCAGCTGGAAGTTGCCCTGCGGGATACATTAAAGGAGGAAATCATCCTTATGCTGGAATCAGTGCTCTTGTGGAGCTAATAGATGTCCTTGTATTCTTCAAATAGTAAACATTGGTGTTCTACTGCAGTTGGGTGTGTACACACAGAGATCCCCTGTACAGAAAGGTAGAGTGGGGAGGTGCCCAGATAGAGCTAGAATCTTCTGGGTTCTATTGATCTTTTCATAGAGCATCAGACCCATAATGGATCACTTACTGCACCCTACCCCAATTTTGCAGATATGAAAACTGATGCAAAGAGAGGAGGAACAATGCATCCATGACCATTTGGCAAGGAAATGGCAAAGTTTGGGCTCTTCTTTTCTCTGGTCACTTTCTGTTTCAGCCAGGAGAGTTTACTCCCCCGCCCCAAGTAAGATTGTAAAATGATAATACCAACCTATTTTATAGATACAATGCTTTTACTTGCCAAAGCACGTTCATCTCACTATTTCCCATAGCATGGGTTATTTTCTTTTTTTTAAACAGTTGAGAAAAGAAGCACAAGACCTGTGTTCTAGTCCTGTCTCTGACATATACTGGCTGCCTTTATGACCCTGAACAAATCACTCTACCACTCAATTCCCCCAGGCAACTCTTTATGACTATACATTTGCCAATTTGTATGAGTAGAGGAAATTTTCTCACTGGGAGTTCACTACACCAGTGAAATCTGAGTCTCAGTTTTTTACCCCACAATACTCCTACAAAGTAGGCACTACAAATTTTTTTTAATAACCATAATTTTACAGATGAAGAAAATGAGATTTGGAGAGGTGAAAGGTAGTATTAAATTTTGGATTTGAGTCCAAATCTACTGACTCCAAGTTTGGTGCTTTTTCTTGTGACCACACTGTTTCTTGGAGAGCAAGCACCATGTAGAGTCATATGGCCATGGCATCCCCAATCCCTAGATCCACATGTATATGACATCAGGGCCAAGGTAAGAGACTTCAGCTATTCTCCAACCTCTCTTGAAAGAGCCCTAGGAAAAATATTCCAACTCAGAGGACATGCCCTCTAAATACAGACTTATGTCTTGTCTGTGTCCTTTCATTATGTTGAGTATAAGAGGAATTAAAGGGAAATTAGATTATAACTCTCTGGAAGTATAGGATATTATGTGTATGGGCACAGAGAATGTGAAACTATTTAATTTTCTCTTTAATATCTGAAGTGTTTTTGTTAATGGGCCTATGCATCTCTAGAATGACCTAGGAATAAAATAATATAATAGATGGGGATTCAGGCTATAATCTAAATTATCCCAAAGCAACCCCAATGATCCCCTGACTGACTAAGGGGATGCTATATGTGTATAGAAACATAAGCAGTGTGAAACCAGGCCATAGTCATTACCTGAATTGTGCTGCGTCCCGGCAGAGTTCCACATTGGGCCTTTGAGCTCGCTGATAAAGCCTTGTCTGAGCAACTTTCAGAGGGGTTTCTTTGTCTTTGATGGCTTGTTTGAGGGATGCAATGTTGTTTTCCTGGTCACTAATTTCTCTGAGTGTCTGTGGAAGAAGCAAAGTGAGATTGAGCTTCTGTGGTTAACTCCACCTATGTGGATAGCCAGGAGACTTAGGGAAAAGGCAGCAGGGTAAAAAAGACTCAGGCTGTGCCTTCAGCAAGTGCCCAAGATAATGGCAGAGCTGAACCAGACCAGTAGATGGTACAGAACCAGGTATATATGCATATACCTAAACCCAGAGACACAAGTCTGCAATAGCTTCTCTTTCCTCTCTGCACAAAGCAGGAGACATGCCTCTCTAAAGCATGCCCTCTGAATTCTATCTTTTACCACACTCTGTGAGCTTGACCAGAGGCAAGAATGGACCTTCTGACTTCCCAATTTAGGGATTTGAATGGTCCATCACGCAAAGTTAGGACTCAGGTTTTTTTCCCCCTTTTATCATGTTTCCTCTTTGTATGCTTAACATTGTATCGCTTCTGAGTGTATGTGGTTATTCTAACGGCTACAGTGGATTTGTTCTTCAAGAACAGAAGCTTGGAGGTGATGCTGACATAGCCAAGTTTACAACTTGGTCCCAGAGCTCCATGAGCCAAAATAATCAGGGAAATGAGAAAAGGGGTCACAAGATATGTGTAGGACTGAGTGTGGAGACTGCAGGAAAATTTCTGTGTTCTATACCTCACTTTTGCTAGTGGAACCTTAGTCCAAATTTGTTTAATGAAAGAAGTCATTGACAATTTAGAAATGGTAAAAGCTCCCATGACCTGCTTGAGTCAAAATGGCTAAATTTCCTGTTCCTTTAACATCCTGAAAGCATTCTGCTAGGGTATAGTGGTGGTGGTAGTGGTAAGGGGGAGATTATGGCAAGAAAAGACCCACAGAATCATGTAGCTAAGTTTATTAGATGTCATTGAGTCCAACTCCATCATTTTACAAATGAGGAAACTAAGGCACAGCAAATTGGGGGAGAAAACATGAGTGGGAGGGCCCTAGGACCCAAGTCCTGGCTGCATTACTCACATGCTAGTAATGTCACATAACATCATTCTCCAAGCCTCCCTTTACCCATCTATAAAATGAAGGTGATCTATGATGAGCTGAAACGGACCTCAGAGGCCCCCTAGTCCAACCCCTTCATTTTACCTATGAAGAAATTGAGTCAGCGGAGCCAAGATGGCAGAGTGAAAGCAATGCCTTGCTTGAGCTCTTCCCCAAAGCCCTCCAAATACTTGTAAAAAATGGCTTTAAACAAATTCTAAAGCAGCAGAACCCACAAAAAGACAGAGTGAAACAAATTTTCAGCCCAAGACAATCTGGATGGTTGATCAGAGAGGTATATCAAGCTGGGCTGGGAGAGGAATGCAGTTTAGCGTGGGCATGCAGGCAAAACAGGCCTCAGGAACCTGGAGCAGGCCTCAGAGGACTGAATCACAGGCAGCTGTGGTGGTTTCCAGACTTCTCCACCCATGAAAGCCAAAGACAACTTAGAACGTCAGTAGGAAAAGTCTATGTCTGCGGTGAGAGAGAAGTGCAGTCCCAGCCCTAGCTCCCAAGGGAGGCTCTGGGGTGGAGGATGCCTCCAGACCTTCTGGCCCACAGAATGAGAGGGAATCCAGTAGCTGGGATAGAAATGGCCAAACGGAAAAGGAAGTCCAAAAGTTTACTGAAGAAAATACTCCCTTAGTACCACATCGCACCTATCAGATTGGCAAAGATGACAAAGTAAGAAAATGATAAATGTTGGCAAAAATGTGGGAAAATTGGAACGCTAGTTCATTGTTGGTGGAGTTGTGAAATGATCTAACCATTTTGGAGAGCAATTTGGAATTATGCCCAAAGGGCTATGAAAATGTGCATACCCAGCAATAGTACTTCTCAGGCTATATCCCAAAGAGATCATACAAATGGGAAAAGGATCCACATGCACAAAAATATTTATAGCAGCTCTTTTTGTGGTAGCAAAGAATTGGAAACTGAGAGGATGCCCATCAACTTGGGGAATGGCTGAACAAGTTGTGGTATATGAATGTAATGGAATACTATTTTGCTATAAGAAATGATGAACAGGCTGATTTCAGAAAAAATCTGGAAAGACTTATATGGTCTAATGCTGAGTGAAGTAAGCAGAACCAAGAGAACATTGTACACAATAATAGCCATGTTGTGTCATGACTAATATTGATAAACTTAATTCTTCCCAGAAATACAAGGATCTAAGACATCTCCAAAGGCCTCATGATGGAAAATACTATCCACATCCAAAGGAAGAACTATGGAATTTGAATGCAGATTGAAGCATACTATTTGCTTTTTTTTTCTCTTCTGTTGAGTTTTGTTTCCTCTTTCTGGTGGTTCCTCCTATTGGTTCTAATTCTTACTTACAACACCACTAATGTGAAAATAAGTTTAATAGGAATGTATATGTATAGCCTATATCAGATTGTGCGCTGTCTTGGGGAGGGTGGTGGGGAGGAAGGGGGAGAAAAATTTTAAACTCAAAAGCATATAAAAGTGATTGCTGATAAATCAAAATAAATTAATAAAAGAAGAGATAAAATGGAAAGAATAAAAAAAAAGAAAACACTTCCTTAAAAATTAGAATGGAGCAATTGGAAGCTAGTGACTTTATGAGAAATCAGGACACTGTAAAACAAATTCAAAAGAATGAAAAAATAGAAAACAACGTGAAATATCTCATTGGAAAAACAACTGACCTGGAAAATAGATCCAGGAGAGAGAATTTAAAAATTATTGGACTACCTGAAAGCCATGATCAAAAAAAAAAGGACCTAGACATTATCTTTCAAGAAATTATCAAGGAAAACTGCCTTTATATATTAGAACCAGAGGGCAAAATAGAAATTGAAAGAATCCACTGATCTCCTGCTGAAAAAGAGCCCCAAAGGAAAATTCCTAGGAATATTGTAGCCAAATTCCAGAGTTCCCAGGTCAAGGAGAAAATATTGCAAGCAGCCAGAAAGAAACAATTCAAGTATTGTCGAAACACAATCAGGATAACACAAGATTTAGCAGCTTCTACATTAAGGGACTCAGGGCTTGGAATATAATATTCTGGAGGGCAAAGGAGATAGGATTACAACCAAGAATCACCTATCCAGAAAAACTGAGCATAATCCTTCAGGGGAAAAATGGATATTCAGTGAAATAGAGGACTTTCAAGCATTCTTGATGAAAAGACCAGAGCTGAATAGAAAATTTGACTTTCAGATACAAGATTCAAGAGAAACACGAAGAGGTGAACAGGAAAGAGAAATCATAAGACACTTATTAAAGTTGAACTGTTTACATTCTGCATGGAAAGATGATATTTGTAATTCATGAGTCCTTTGTCAGTATTAGAGTAGTTGGAGGGAAAAATTATATGTATGTATATAGATATAGATATAGGTAGTATCTATAGATAGATAGAGGGCACAGGGTGAGTTGAAGATGAAGGGGTGATATCTGGAGAATAAAATTAAGTGGTGAGAGAGGATTATACTGGGAGAAGGAGAAAGGGAGAGGTAGAATGGGGTACATTATCTTACACAGAACAAACAAGAAAAGGCTTTTGCAGTGGAAGGAAAGTGGGGGAAGGTGAGAGGGAATGAGTGAACCTTATTCTTATCAGATTCGGCTTAAGAAGAGAATAACATACTCACTCAGTTGGGTATGGAAATCTATCTTACTCTACAGGAAAATGGGGGGAAGGGGACGAGAGAGCAGGAGGATGATAGAAGGGAGGGCAGATTGGGGGAGGTGATAATCAGAAGCAAACACTTCTAAGGAGGGACAGGGTCAAAAGAGAAAATAGAATAAATGGGGGGCCAGATAAGATTGAGGGAGATATACTTAGCTTTTCACAACATGGAAGTTTTTTTTTCATAACTACACATGTATAACCTGTATGGAGTTGTTTGCCTTCTCAATGAGAGTGGGTGGGGAGGGAGAAAGGGAGAAAATTTGGAATCCAAAGTTTTAAAAACAAAAGTAAAAAAAAATTGTTTTCACATGTAACTGGGAAATAAGATATACAGGAAATGGGGTATAGAAACCTATCCTGACCTACAGGAAAATTGAAGAGGAAGGGGATAAGAGAAGAGGGGGAGAGATAGAAGGGAGGGTGGATTAGGAGAAGGGATATTCAGAATGCATACCATCTTGGGGTAGGGGGAGGGACGAGATGGGGAGAAAATTTGGAACTCAAAATCTTGTGGAAGTGAATGTTGAAAACTAAAAATTAATTAATTAAAAAAATTAAAAATAAAACCAACAAAAATTGTAAAGGGTAAAATAATGAAGGGTGGGTGACCCAATTTCAATATTAAAAAGACCCTGAGTGGCTCAATTAAAAAAGGGAAAAAAAGTGCTTGTTGCCTTACCTTGCCTAATTCTTAGGAAGTTTTTTCCCCTAGCATCAAGCCTAAATTTGCTCCTTTGCTACTTCCAACCATTGTTCCTCGTTCTGTCCACTAGGACCAAATTAGACAAATCTAATCTCCATAGGATTAAAGACAACTATCATGTCTTCCCCCCATTTTCTCTCCTCTGGTTAAACATGCCCAATTCCAGTTCTTTTGACTAATCCTTCTAAGGCTTGAAATAAAGGTTCTTCACCATCTTAAAAAAAAAAAAAAGAAAAGAAAAAAAGAAATTGAGCCGCAGGAAGTATGCAAAACTAAGACCACAAAGGGAAGCAGCTAGTTGATTTCAGCTTGTTGTAAAGGGGAACTTCACAAGTGAGTAGTGATGAGTGCCACGTCCCTGGGGGTCTTGCAGCGGAAGACAGAAGGTTGTCTGTCCAAGATGTTGTACACGGCATTTCCGCCCTGGCAGGAGCAGGACCAGATTACTGAGGAGGTTTCCCCCTCCCCTGTTCTGAGCATACAAGCCTCTGCTGACAAAATATAGGAGTTGCTTACATTCATTCCCATCAAAGCTCCCTTAGAATGTGAACTTCTTACTATGTGAGTCACCCTCACTTTATAACTGTAGCAAATTATCCCAAATGTCAAATTATTTTGAAGCAGCTGAGTGGGATCTGCTTTTAGAATAACCAGTTTGGGGCTCGCTGGGGAAGTGAAGACTTGAGTGAGAAGTCCCCAGTGTTCAACTTTTATATTTGTAAGTCCTGGCAGAGGGGAGTCATGGCTGCTGGTCTCTAGGGACTGGTGGCTAACTGCCCCTCTGGGTTTGGAATAAGGAACAGTAGGGTGATTTGTGTACTTTCCCTAAAAGGAGCCTTGGAGTCCAGATTAAGGTATGATTCTAGATTGGAGGGGCTATAGCATTGACTCAGGAGAGAATTACAAATGGCCCTTCCTGGGTGCAGGCCTAACCCTCAGTGCTTGTGCCTAACTGAAAAGAAAAATGTCACAAAACTAGGACCAGCGACTTAGAAGTCATGGAAAGTTATGGTTTTAGACACAGAAGATCTGCCTTAGGGGGCCAGCTTGGCCACTTCCCAACTATAGGGCTACAGATGAAACATTTCACCTCTATGAATGCCATGTTTGTAAAATGAGGGTTTTGAGCCTACTGAGCCAGTCCTTCTAGCCCAGATATTATGTGGTTCTGGATAATAGGGAGGTAGTCGTTTGCTCAATTCCAGGAAAAGCTTCCTAGCAATCAGAGCTATCTGACAACAAAGTAGCTATTTTAGGCTATAATCAGTGGTCACTGGAAGACTCCAAGCAGTGACTAGATGATAACCAGTCAGAGTTTCACAGAAGGGATTTCTGCAGTGGGTGAATGGACTAGATGACCTATAAGGCTCTGTCTAGCTATAAAGGGAAGTTCTGTGCGAATTGAACATGTCTCATGTACTTGCTTCTTTCTCTCCTCTTACATTTGCCACTGTGCTGGTATGGGCCCTCATCATATCTAGACTATTATAATAGGCTGCTGTTGATTTCCCTACCATATTTCTCTCCTCACCAATACATCCTCCACTCAGTTGTCAAACTGATCCTCCTAAAGTGCAGATAAGATTCTATTGTTGTTTAGTCATTTTTCAATCATGTCTCCATTTGAAGTTTTCTTGGCAAATATACTGGAGTGGTTTGCCATTTCCTTCTCCAGACCATTTTACAGACGAGGAAAGGTAAACCGGGTTAAGTGATTTGCCCAGGGTCACACAACTGTTAAGTGTCTGAGGCTGGATTTGAACTCATGAACTCCTGACATCAGGCCCAGCACTCTATCCACTGAGCCACCTAGCTGTTTATGATTATCCATACTCTTTATTCAATAAATTCTAGTGCCTCCCTATCACCTCCAGGATCAAAAAATAAAGTACTTTGGAGTTCAAAGCACTTCATTACCTGCCTCATTCCCCTCTTTTCCAGTCTCCTTATACCTTACTCCCTTTATTTACTCTGTGATCCTGTGACACTGGTTTCTTTAATGTTCCTCACATAAGATAATCCATGTCCTGACTCCAGGCATTTTTACTGGATGTCCCCCATGCCTGGAATACTCTTTCTCCTCATCTCTGCGCTCTGGCTTCCCTGGCTTCCTTCACATCTTAGCTAAAACCACACTTTATACAAGAAGCCTTTCCTGATGCCCTTTTATGCTCATGCTTTTCTTCTGTTGTTTGTCTCTAACTTATTAGAGAAGAAGACTGGAGTAGCTACTGTGGAGCACTTAGAGCTTGGTCAGACATCGAAGATGCCAACATCATCCACTGCATTCCAGACTATCGCCTGCCAGTTATTCTGACTTTTGTCAGGCCCTTGGTCTTCAATGACTCTGGAAGAGAGAATGAGGCTGATGACTTTGTACGAGTTTGCCTCATTTAAATCCAATTCACTCGGGAGCCAAGACTTCACCCCATTGGTACTCTTCAAAAGCAAAAGACAAATAATAACAGCTTCTCTAATTTTTCCTGTATAAAGCTTATTTGAACATAGTTATTTGCATGGTGTCTCCACCATCAGACTTGTGAGTCCCTTGAGAGTAGGGACTATCTTTTTTCCTTTCTTAAAATCCCCAGTGCCTGGGTGCCAGAGCACAGTGCCTGGCTCATGGTAGGTCCTTTTTTTTTTTTAAATGCTTGTTGATCGATTAACTGGACTTTGAAAGCATGGGCCTGGTGCCCCGAGGCTTTGACGCAGGGAGAGATGAAGTGGGGAGGAGATAGGGCACAGCTAGAGGTGCTCACTTTATTTAGGTGGTACTCCAGCTGTGTTTGGCACCCTCCATCTCCTCACAGCGTTTGGCAAAGGCCAAGTTGACATTATCACACTGTAGGCGGAGGTCCTCGGCAGTGTCATTGAGGATGTTGTTAATCAGGAGCCGCAGGTTGACGGATGCCGTCTTCTCCCGTTCTGCCCGGTAGATGTTGTCATGGCTGAAGTTGGCCCACGTTTCTGGAGTGGAGGTGCTAAAGGGGTCAGAGGATGGTAAAGAAGTCAGTATTTCCTGGCCCCAGAGTGTGAGGAGTCATGGAATAAGAAAAGAAGAAAATTTTCTGACTCCAAGGAGTTTCCACTCTAACTGAGGGAATGAAATATACTTATGCAGACAAGAAGATTGTAAGGCACGATTTGTGTAATGTATGCCAGGTTCTCAGAGCCCATACAGGAAAAGAGTGATGAGGGAAGGGGGCTCACAGCAGGAAATTAACCTGGACATTTCAGGGAGTGGCAGATGATGGGGGTCTTCACAGGCTACACTGACTGAGACATTAACCTTAAGTCTCTCCCCATTCTAGTCCATCCTTCACTCAGCTGCAAGATTGATCTTCCTACAGCACAACCATGTCATATACACACCCCACCCCTTCCCCCAATTCAACAAACTCTAGTGAATTCCTATTGCCTCCAGATCATATATAAAATCCTCTGGCATTCAAAGCCCTTCATAACTTGCCCTATTCCTACCTTTCCAGTCTTCTTATACCTTACATCCCCTCAGCTACTCTCTGATTCAGCAACACTGGCCTCTTTTCTGTTCTTCACACACAATACTCCAACTCCAGGCTTTACATTTTCATTGGTCCTCTCCCTACTGGCTTCAGAGATTTCCATCAAGTATTAACTAAAATCCTGACTCCTGCTCTAATCTCTCTTCATGCTAGTGCTTCCCTCTGTGATTGTCTCTGATTTATCCTGTATGCAGTTTGCTTGATCATAATTGTTTTCATGGTGTCTCCCCCATTAGACTGTGAGTTACTTGAGAGCTGGGACTGTCTTTTGCCTTTGTTTCTGCATCCTTAGCACTTAGCACAGAACCTAGCACATGGTAGGTGCTTAATAAAATGCTTATTGAATGACTGCCTACAGCACAAAGAAAAAAAAAGTAGGAATCTGGAGAAAAGAAAGATCATTGGTTGGTAGGGTTGACCAGATAAGATGAATTGGAGGAAGTATATAGGATTTGAATTAGGCAGAAGAAGATAAGATCCATGGGGCTTTGGGGAGCCACCAATGAAAGGTACTTTGGTCTTTGACCTAGGGAAGATGGCAGAATGCTCCTTGCCAGATCAGAAGAAAGAAAACCCATAAGCAGGGAGTAACTCATGAACTTACTGATTCTTACTTGGGGGGACAATTTGGCATCCCTGGTGAATTTGATCAAGGTTCACTTTCTCCAATAAATCCTTTCCTAACTGCTGGAATCATACCTCCTTTATGCTATTTCTACTTTGATATTCTTTAGAGAAGAATATTAGTTGACCTTCTATGTTCAAGTATGTGTAGGATATGGGGAAGAGGTGTCAGCATTCTGGGCTGGTTTGCTAGACTTTCTACAGAATGGTCTAGCTGAGTAAAGGTCCCAACTTCTTGGCCTCGGGGAAGTATCTGTGGAAAGAACCCTTCCTTGGTGTGAAAGGGCCCTGTGTTCATATCCTGTCATTGTTCATTACTACCTGTATGACCTAGTGTAAGGAGTTTGACCCCTCTGAACCTCAGTTTCTTCCTCTGTGAAGGTAGGGAGTTGAGTTGGACTATAAGTTGAGTTGGTCCTTTCTAGCTCTACATCTATTATATACTGCAAGATCTGTGTTGTTTTGGAGCATTGAGACCCTCAGCCTCTGTAGGGGCCAGAGACAAAAGCCAGGAGAATGCTGTTAAGCTCATCATTGAAGTCCCTAAAAACCCTTTGACTAAAAAACTAAACAAACACAAAAAATACAGTCCATGGCTATGATGTACCCAGAGAAGATCCTGGTGTCTGCCTAAGGTACATAAACGCAATACAGATTAGACATTTGAATGGGCCCACTGTGTTCACACAGCAGAGGAGAGAAATAGTTTCCAGGAAGAATATTTACTTTTCCCTTTCTATAGCCCTAGGTGGGTTTGGCTACCAGTTGTGATTCCCAGGGCCAAAAGGTAATATCTGGCTTCAGTCTCTTGGTTTTGACTTGGGCTTAGAGTCACTGCCTTGGATTCCTGTCACTTTGGTTTATAAGACCTTTGAAGGCAGGTATAATTCCTTCTTTTTTGTGGGAGAAGAGCACCTACCATTATACCTCCTGGGTTCTCAAAAGAAAAATAAAGTTTCCTGAATCAGAATAAATTCCATACCTTCCATAAACTTCATTCTGTCTTCTGCTTAAGCCTAGCCCCTAACCATGACCCCAAATCCTTGTCCCCTTACACACAATACTCTCTCAGACTATCTCCCCAGATAGGTCCAATTTCATTTTTTCAGAAGCAGATGTCAAAAACTTATCAACTGCTATACCAGGGGTTCTTAGCCTTTTTGTTTAATGGACCCCTTTGGCAATCTGGTAAAACTTACGGACACCTCACAATAATGTTTTGTTTAGTTAGGGAAATATTAAATTTCATTTAAAAGTTAGTGAAAATAAGGATGTATTTTTTTTTCATCCAAGTGCACAGCCACCCTGTCATCTCTCCAAAGACCATGGACCCCAGATTAAGAACCCCTGTTCTATACAATGCCTGGCAAAGCTGAGAACACCAGGTTCGCAGTTTCTACTGCCTCATCCTTTCTATCTAACACCACACACGGAGGGATAGGCAGCCTTGGAGACTCTTTTGAACTCCTGCTATCTAGATGACTATGAATAGAGTTCTAGACCTAGATGGAGTCAGCAAGACCTGAGTTCAAGTCCAACTACAGACACTTACTGGGATGTATGTTTCTGGGCAAGTCACTTGACCTCTCTCTGCCTTAGTTCCCTCATGAGTAAAAAAACAGTGTTGGAACTAATGGCTTCTACAATCCTTTCTATCTCTACATCTGTAATCCTATGAATTTCTCCCCACCTCCATTTCACTCTTGTCCAAAAGACTGGCTTATACTCTTCTAGCTTCACCACAACCCTTGAACATTTGTCACCTTTAACAATTCAAATCAGGGAAGAGAGGGGAAAAATACACTCCAGATAATCTATTTTTTTTTCACTTAACCCAAGACCCCTGGTGTAGATTAGAAGGCCTCACATAAACCAGCTCTTCTCTGGAATAAACTAGGGGGAATAGAAGCAAGCAATTCATGTGGTAGAGGTGCTCTGCCACCTGTTGGTCACTGAAAGAAACTACACAGAGTGCCAACTCTCAAAAAGATGGGAGAACACTATAGAATGGGAGAGTGGTGGGGAAGTTGATTCTCTGAGAGTCACAAGATGATATCATGTGTGAATCATGGGACTTCATCCACGGAGGCCAAGGGCAAGAGTTTTAGCAACATCCCACCCGAAGTAGCAATGACCTAGGGAGGCCTCGGGAGACCTGAGTTCTAGACATTTACTAGCTAGAGAGATGGGGCAAGTTACTTTCTTCCTCCAAACTAATTTCCCCGCTTTCATAGCCATCCATTTGTCAATTAGCATTTATTAAACACCTACTACTATATGCCAGGCCCTGTGCTAAATGCTGGAAATACAAAGGAAAGCAGAAGACAGTCTCTATACTCAAGGAGCTCAGAGCTAAGTAGCGGAGAAAATGTGCAAACAGTTGTGAACAAACAAGATATATCCAGGAGATTAAGGAGGATCAGAAGAGGCTTCTCAGGAGAGATGGGATTTTAGATGAGACCTGAACAGAAATCAGGATGCAGGAGTGAGGAAAGAGAACATTCCAGGCATGGAGAATGAAATACCCAGAGTTGGGAAATATAATGTCTTGTATTAGGAAGATAGTGTCAATGGAGAGCAGAGGATATGGCAGGGAGCAAGGTATAAGAAGACTGGAAGGGTAGGAAAGGGCCAGATTGAATTCAATTCAACAAATATTTATAAAGCCTGGACTATTTTTAGGTGCTTTTCTAGATTATGGAGATACAAATACACAAATAGCCCCTATTTTCAAGGGGCTTAAAAATGAGGGGGATGGATTTGTTAGGTTCCTTGCCAGCATTAGCAGTCTCTCTGAGTACAACCTTTATTAGCTGTTAGAGCTTGGCAAATCCCTTTATCTCTACAGACCTCAGTCTGTTCATCTGTAAGTAACCCTTGTAGTCCTTACTTCACAAAGTTTTTGAGAAGAAATAAATTTGTAAACTTTTGAGTTCCATGGAAGTGCGAGCTATGATGATGGTGGTATATACTATGTGGAAATTTCCCTTTTGGGAATACTCTTCACCCAATCCACATGCTACCCATTCAATAGATACTCACTGACATCCAATTTACAGAGATGCTGGTACTTGGCACCAGAAGGTTAGGGGTAAGGTAGAGTACAAAAGTGGAGAGGAGATGGGATCTCTTTCTTCAGGGATCTCATGAATTCTAGTAGGAGCTAAGGTACAGACTTGCATAATTACAATATAACTGCATTGTACAGTACAATTAAGATTAGCACAATTTTAAGGAAATAAGTATAATTCTAAGAATAATAAGCTCTTTGAAGGCAGGAGATCTTTTGTTTTTATCTTTGTCTACAATTTGTATCCCTAATACCTAACAGGTTGCCATACCTGTGGTGGGCCCTTAATAAAAGATTGTGAAATTGAGCTACAACACAAGATGGGGGGTGGGAGCAGGGGGGCGGGAAGGAATGGCCAAGGAGAAGTTACCAAAAAAAAAAATGGCCAAGGAATTCACAGTTAGGAGAGGGTACTTTTGGCTATGGAGATCTGAGAAAGCTCTCTGGAGAAGGCAGCACTTCAGCTGGGCCTTGAAAGAAAGGTTGACCTTAAAGAATTGGAAATTGAGGCAATACCCATCAATTGGGGAATGGCTGAATAAGTTGTGGTATATGAATGTAATGGAATACTATTGTGCTATAAGAAATGATGAGTAGGAAGATTTCAGAAAAACCTGGAAAGACTTACATGAACTGGTGCTGATTAAAGTGAGCAGAACCAGGACAGCGTTGTACAACATTGTGCAATGATCAACTATGACACACTTAGTGCTTCTCAGCAATACAATGATCTGAGATAATTCCAAAAGACTCATAATGGAAA